CATTCAGCATTTCCCATCTGATGGGATCTTTTTTAAAGTCTAGGGAATTCTGGAATATTAAAATCAATGCATCTTTTATCTCAACAGCCACTTTTAAGACTCTTGAATGAAGTCCATCAGGACCAGGGAATTTGTCGGCTTTTAGTTCTAATAATTTTCTCAGTACCCTTGCCCTGGCAATTGTAATTGTTTTGAGTTCCTCCCTGTCTTTCACCACTATTTTTTTCCACATCTCACCTCAAGGAATAAATCTGTTCTGCATCCTTGCTGAAGTAAAATCTCAAAATTGCAGACAGTGTCCCACTCTAGTATGATGAATTATTTGTATAGGTTCAAAATCAATTCTGTTTTCCCATTCTATGATCATGCTAATAAAACTTAGGACCCTCCATGGTATTTTCAAAGCTTGTCAACTTATCCTCTCACTTTTAAAGATATGTGTTTTGAATTCTGTTCCTTTGAAAATCTGTAACATAACCAACTCTATCATTACTCTGGCCATCCTGGCCTTTGTGTGTCACAATGGTGATCACTGTTCTTTGTTTTTTGGTATCTTTATTCCTGCCCACAATTCCTCTACAAATAGCTTTCTAAGAAATTTACCTTGGTTTTTTTTTGCCTCATTTTTAAATATGCAATGATCATCTGGAAAAATTTAGTGCATGTTGTATCAAGCATGATGAGGTTAGATTAAATCCGCTCGGTCCCCAAGGTGATCTGGGGATGCAGTACGTCAGGCTAATTGTATGCAGTATTGCATAGTAGCAAGGAGTGAATAGATTTTCTTTGCATTCCGTCAGAGAAATGTAGCTTCAGTCGATAAAGGCAGCATATCACTGGGGCAACCAGGTTTCCGGTCCATGCTGATTTTGCCAGTAGCCTAGATAAAATGAGAGGTGCAGTTGTCCTTGATTTCTTTCTCTGCTTGATGAGGAGGAAAATCGATTATGGTTGCTGCTCATCATCACTGTCCAGTGATCACTGTTTGCAATGTGACAGAATTGTATTGGCTTAATATTGAGCTTGGCTTTGCAGTTCTACAAGAACCCTCCAACTTCACAGTGTAATCTCCTTTGAAGAACGGCTGAAGTTAGTTTGAGATACTGGCACATAACCAACAACTGTGGAGCTGCCAAATGAGAGAAAATACAGGGTTTTTCTTAAAATAGATAACATATTTTGTCATGAAGAGGAAAAATTAATGTGTGCGCCTGTATGACCACTCCTGTGTAAAAGGGTGCAGTCATTATGAAATACTTGTTGATTATTGGCACTGTTAATGGGAAAGTACAGTTAGGCTGCTGAATCAAACTAGGGCTCCATGCACTTGCAGTCAAGTGCACAAATCAATCAACCACAGACAGGTGTTTTTAACTGACAGTAGGTTTAGCTCAGTTATAAACCAGTTGCATTGGACCAATGCAGAATTCACCATTTGATTTTGCGTGTAGCCTCAGTTATATTCAAGTTTGAGGGTTCAGTTGCATTGTCAAAAGCACAGGTTTATTGCCTTGGTGACTGAGTGAGCGTGTGCTGTGAAACATGCTCTTGTTTACACAATTAGTTGATCTCAGCTGGTGGAATGGTAGAGGTGGAACAGTTGCTGTCAGTTCTCCTCGGCAAAAGAACCCAAAATTTAGCCCTCCACTCTTGTTCAGTTCCAATTTTTGAAAGTCTGTGGCCCCCTGATATCAAGAAAGAATGTGATTGGGGCTCAAATTTCTCTTGTGGTGCGACAGCTCTTGAGATGTGCATTTGTGTAGCACCTTTAATGTTGAAAAAATGTCCCAAGGTGCTTCACAGGACTGCTTTCAAACAAGGTTTGGCTCTGAACCCATGAAAAATTTTGGGATTGGCAACCAAATGTTTAGTCAGAGGTTGGGTTTTGAGGAGTGGCTTGGAGCGATCATGAAACTTGTGAGGCTTCAGGAGATTATAGAAAACAGGATTCTAACTCAATGGTGGTTTGTCCTAACAGCACTCCAATTCTAATGACGCAATAAGGGATACTTGGTTAAGTGTCATCTCGTGAGGCACTATCTTCAGCAGCAGAAGTGGGAAAGAAAACAATTGTACCATTGAAATTAAAATGGAAAATGCTGAGGGAAAGCATGCTCAGGAGGTTACACATCATTTGTCTGGCCTGTTGAGTTTGTTTCTTGCATTTTCTTTTTTGTTTTAGATTTCTATTCTCCATAATATTCTGTTTTTTTTAAAATTTGTACTGCTGTATTTATAACAACCGAAATTGCTGGAGAAACTCAGAAGATCTGCCAGTATCTGTGAAGAGAAAGCAGAGTTAATTTTTCAAGTCCTGTGACTCTACTTCATCTGCAGTTTGTTCTTTTATTTATATGGCAGAATTTGTCGATTTTATTTTTGTTAAATTGATGCACTAATTTGGGCCCTTACAATTGTTGCACAATATATTTTACATATGTTTGTTAATGCATGATGTTAGTGAAAGTGTATCATTTTGTCTGTGTGTATAGTGACTCAAAACAGCAAGATGTGGGCTTGTGTTCATCTCCGGAAATTCAGCTGGAGGGCAAGTCACCTGAGACATATCTCTTTTTTGCGTATTCTTTAACAGGGCTGAGTTCACACAAGTTATCTGTGGTGGAAAGGGCCCTCCTCAGCTGAGGAGTGAAGGAGAATAGAATGAATTTAGCAGCAGATATGTAAAGATCTGACCATTTATTGCAAGGTTAGATTTGGATGTCAAATTAGTCTGTCAATTAATCATCTGGATATATTGAACCTTAAAAGAGGTTATCCACAGACACGTTAAGCTATTCCAAGGTGGCGATTTCATTATGAACTTACATTAGTAAATGATGAGCTATTGTCTCAATTAGAAGTAACCCTTTCATAAGAACATCCTCAATTACCGTGTCCTCAGATTACTGAGTACTGTGTCTTTCTCTGAATTTGCACAATAAACTGCAATGTTGTTATTCTCATTGGCACTACAGTGTAGTTGGTTAAGCTATGAGTCAGGTCCTGAGGTGACTCCAGAGCAAACTGACATACGCTTCCTTCAGGGCAATGCTTGGCACTAATGCTGTACTTTAAATGTAATCGATTTGTTTAGTTCACATAGTGGTAATGGAAAAAACACAGGAAAATAAATTTGGCAAAGTTTTTGTAATTCTGTGACATAAGTTTACATGATGTAAATGACTTCCACAGAATTATTGTAGCAAAATGCAATAATATGGAATAAAAATATGCGCATTGAATGCGCCAATGGTCAAAAAGTCATGAGGAATTGCCTACACTGAGATAAACGGACCAGATGTATCTGGATGATTTTTGGGCACATTTATTATGCCTAGTGATAAGTTAGACTTACTGCAGTAAATGTAGCCACCTGCATCCTGTTTAGCATTAATTCTGACACTAAATCCCTTTCCCTCACTTACATTGATTTCAATGTTGTTAATAAATGTTGTTATGGTCTCAAAGCATCCTGCCTTTCCAAGTTTCTTCAGTTCACACGAGCTTATATCCAGTGATTGATGGAGGCCTTCTGTCCCATCTTCCCCCACCCCATCCCAGTGGAAACTGAACTTTTCTTTATCTAAGCTGAAATCCTTTCAAAAATCCCAACACTACCTCCACCCTCTGGTCCCTGATTAACCTTCAATCACCTCACTAGCTGTATCTTAATTCCTAAGCTGTCTGGTGTGTTCTTTTCCCATTTCTCCTTGTGAAGTGCGTTGGAACGCAAGTCCCCGACTCTCTGAATTCAAGTAGATAAAACCATAAAGAAATGGTTACAGAATTTCTGGTTTCACAATTGAAGCAAAACGAGTTTATATTCCGAGAGGGAAAAGCTCCACTTCATTGAAAAAACAGGCATGGACATCTAGCAAGATAAGGAATGGTATAAAACTAAAATTAAAGGGCTTACAAAAATGGACAAAGCACTGAGCATACAAGCAAAGGGCCACAAAGCAGCTAATAAAAAGAACCACTGAAAGGAATTATGAAAGGAAACTTGCAAGGTACATCAAAAGTAATATGAAGAAATTTTATAGTTAGATAAAGGAAAGTGGGTGGTCAGAAGCAATGTTAGCCTACTAAATACTGAAAGTGGGGATATTGTCAGTGACTAGGGGAAATGGCAGATATGTTGAATAATTACTTTACCTTAGTATTTACAGTAGAAAAGGAGGCTAGCTTGCCAGAAGTCACAAGGAAATTAGTAGTGATTCGGGGGCAGGGACTGAATAAAATTAATGCAAGTAAAGCATCATTAATGAGGAAATTACTGGAATTAAATTGTGACAAATCCCCAGGACCTGATGGTTTCCATCCATTGGTGTTAAAGGAAGTAGGGGGGCACCTTGTATATGCCCTAACAATAATCTTTCAGAGTTTCCTAGATACAGGAGTTGTCTTTCTGGTTTGGAAGAATGCACATGTCAGTCTGCTTTTTAAGAATGGCAAAAGAGGAAAAGCAGAGAATTACAGACCCTGGTTAGTTTAACA